GACCATCAGCAGTAAAGGTGATGGATGCCTGGAGCCGAGAAAGAACATCAGCACCTAGGAGGTTAATGGGGCAAGTAGAGGAAACAACAAACCGGGAGAGAATGTGTGAACCTACATGCAGAAGTTTAGTAAGGGGGTTACTGCGGGGTGTACCATCCACCCCAACACAGGAGACATCGGTGTCAGATAAGAAGGAAGGATCTGGCAGGTCTTGTTCCCTAAAAACACTACGGGCTGCACCTGTGTCAACTAGAAAGGTGTCAGGATCTTACCTGATGGGGAGTCCGGCTCGCAGAGTTATACGCTCACCCTTGCAAAGTAGACACAGACCAGGTTGACCAGGTAAGACGCCACCTGATCTGTGAGTCTGTGCACGGGCGCTTTCCAGGAAAAGTGTGCCAAGTCTCAGTACAGCAGGGATTAGCAGAAGCGTGTTCAAGGGAAGCCAAAATCAGGGAAGCCAGAGGTCAGAGTAGTCCAGGAGGAAAGCCAAGGTCAGAAGCCGGAATTAGACAGTAATCACTGGAACGCAGGTACAGAGTAACAGAAACCAAACAAGGGAACCAGAGTCAATGAACTGACACTGCCCTCAGGGAGAGGCAGTGTCTTATACCTGGCTAATTGGTGATCAGCCACAGGTGTGCTGAGATCGTTGGAGCAGCCACAGAATAACGTCCAGCCCCCAGTGCTGGGTACAAGGCAATATAGACTTCTGGCTATCTCTTGAGCTGATATGGTGGCTCAGAGGCAAAATAGCAGCCCCAGGACTGCAAAGTACCCTGGTTCAAGTCCGTCACCGGGCACTTCTGGGGCGACCTCGTCTGGCCGTCGGGATGTCGCGGTGAAAATCGTGACAAAAGGTAGTTGGATGAGCCTCCACGGGGAGAACTACAGTAGCCAAGGGCCCTCCCCCATCCCCCGCAGACACTGCCATGGCAGGGGTTGCTGACACAGGCTTGCCAGTTACCTATTGTAATAAATCTAAATGGGCCTGATCTGGTCCCTGGTACCGGCGGGAAGTGGAGGGAGGGTTACTAGATTGCATGGGAGGATGGGATGGACGGTTAGTGTGGCGGGGCAGTGACTGACTCTCTTGGAAATCATCTGTGTCAAACCCTTCAGCGGAAGCCGAAGTGTATGCACGGGCCTCTGATGTAGGGAGCCGGGCTTGGGTGTATTCAGGAGGAGGAGGAGGAGGAAGCTGAGGCAACTGTGGATGGGGCAGGGCAGGGAGGTAACCAGTGGAGGGGAAACTAAAGCCGGTGACATGGGGACTTGGGTACCGGGGAGTCTGTGGGCGGATTACTCTAGGGTGTGGGCAATCTCTTCTGAAGTGGCCGGGCTGATTACAGTTAAAACAGGTCCGGATTGTCGTGAGGGTCCGGTCCCGGGGAGAGGGGATAGATGCAGGCAGTGTCTGGGGTAACTGAGTGTATTGTTGGGGGAGTATCTGAGGAACTTGGTTAGGACTGACAATTGGTGTGGAGGTAGTATACATCAGAGGGCTAGCTCTTCGCTGTGTGGGTTGCAGAACAGATTCTAGACCCTTGGCTACCAGCAAAAGTGTGTCCAGTGGAATAATTCTGTACTCTGGGTGAGCTAAAATTAACCCCTTACGAATGTGTTCCCTAAGGCCTGCCACAAAGGCTGCAGATAACATCTGGGTGTGTGCTTTGTTATAGGTGCTGAACCCTAAGTCTGAGAAAGTCTGAGTCAATCTAGAGTGATACTTCTCAACAGTCTCAAGCTTATCCTGAATTATGTCATTTATGCAAGTAGCCTGATCTGCTAGTTTATCCTGTGCCCAAGCTCGGAGCTGCTCACTGAAAATTTCACCAGAACGAAAATCTGTATCAGAAGTGAGTGGAGCGTCATTAAAGCTCCGTTCCATGATTGGCCAGTATGCATCTCCAGCCTTTATTTCACACAAACTTATAAGATCCCGCCAGCAGCGGAATATGTTTTTCGAATCTGAGCCATCCTGCGGAAAAAGGGCATGGGGTGTTTCTCAGGATCAGGGAGTGAGGTTACAAGGGTAGCAGCTTGGGAAGGGTTGAAGGTAACATACATGGGTGGTGCACCATCCGCTCCATGGTTAATCTGGGTATAACCCTGGGGGATAGAGAGCCGTTGGGGGAGCCTGTTCCCCCCTGGGCGAGGTGAATCCTGTTCTACCACAACAATCTCCTCGGGTGCTACTGGGCCACGGTGCAGAGTAGTCTCGGGGGTAGCTGTGGCGGGGGCGGCAGGGAGACCGGTGATGGGAGAGGTAGTTGGGTGGAAGCCCGAGGCCTGGGGGGAAGCACCCACTGCATAGGGTTGATCCGACGTCACAGACACTTCGGATCCAACCACCATGATTGGATAACTAGAGCTGGTGGGAGAGACATGAGGGACCAATGCCATGGATGGGGTTGCTGTGGGGGCCGGCTGAGATGGGCGTGAGAGGTGGGTAGTTAGGACATGAGCGAGAGCAGAGATTGGATCGGAAGGCTCGGGGATGTTAGCGGGGGGCGGAGAAGGGGTTGGAGGATCAGGGGGAGGAGGTGGAGGAGGAGGAGGTAAATCAGTGGGAGGTGGAGCAGGAATCGCGGAATTAACCAGGGAGGTAACAGCAGAGAAGAGGGCGGATATCGAGGTAGACAAGTCATTGGCCATGGTTGGGTCAGGGGTCACCGGGGGAGGGGTCGGAGGGATGGGAACAGGGGGCTGGGTTATAACAGCGTGGGTAGAGGGTAGGGACGGCAAATCATCGGGAGGGGAGGAGGCAACGAGGTAGAGGGGGCCGGGACATCGGAGGAGGTAACACTGGAGAAGGGGTTGGAGGGGTGGGAACGGGGGGCTGGGTCAGGGCGGTAAGGGCAGAGATTAGGGACGGCAAATCAGCCGGGAGGGGAGGAGGCAATGAGGTAGAGGGGGCCGGGACATCGGGAGGAGGTAACACTGGAGAAGGGGTTGGAGGGGTGGGAACGGGGGGCTGGGTCAGGGCGGTAAGGGCAGAGATTAGGGACGGCAAATCAGCCGGGAGGGGAGGAGGCAACGAGGTAGAAGGGGCCGGGACATCGGGAGGAGGTAACACTGGAGAAGGGGTTGGAGGGGTGGAAACGGGGGGCTGGGTCAGGGCGGTAAGGGCAGAGATTAGGGACGGCAAATCAGCCGGGAGGGGAGGAGGAGACGAGGTAGAAGGGGCTGGGACATCGGGGGGAGGTGGCGGTGTGTGGATGGCGGGAGGGTCAGCCTGGAGGATGGGAGGGGTGCCTGGGAGTGTTGCGGGAGGATGAAGTGAGGCAGAAAGGGCGGCTACTAGTGATGCAAGATCAACGGGAGGGGAGGAGGTAGAGGGAGGGCCAGCTGTGGTGGTATATGAGGGAGCGGAGGCAGAGGGGCCGGGAGCAGCGGGCTGGACAGGATTCATGAGAGTGGAGAGTAGGGATGAGGGATCTTTAGAGGAGGAAGTAGAAGGGGAATGAGAAGAAGAAAAAGACAGAGTGGATAAAGGGGTAAGGGTCACGGGACAGGTCACTTTCGAAAGGCTAGCAAGGAAGGAGGAAAGGTCTGAGTCCGAAGGTATGGAAGAGGGGGGTCTGTGGAGGAACAGGGGTCTGGAGGAATGGGGGCGGTGGGATGGACAAGGGTCGAGAGGGCAGAGTGTGAAACAGTCGAGGGGGATGAGGGACCGGGTGTCGTTAGAGAAGGGGTACTCGAGGTGGAGAGGGAATGAGAGGAGGAGGAGGAGGAGGAAACTTCGGTGGGTGAGGTGGGAGCGGTCAGGACGGGATCTTGGCGAGGTTGTGGAGTGGAAGCAGGCACTGGGAGAGGTGGCGGAGGACACGGAGGTGGGGGAACATCAACAGACGTAACGGGAGAAGGGTTGGTGGAGGGGGCTGGGTCAAAAAGGGGTTGGTGCATGGGAGTGGGTGGGAACGAATGAAGTGGCACTGGATAGTAGTAAGCACCGTCTGCACCGAGTACGGGGCACAGGGGGGTGGGAGCTAAAGGCACACCCCTGGGGGATGGGGTCTGTGCAGTGACGGGGGAAGCAGGGCGGGAATTTACTTTTGCGCTCTGGGCGCCATCATAGGGCGGTGGCCGCGGGACAATGGAAACAGCATCATCATTGTTAACACTCCTATGGTATACATATACAGTTTGCCCTTCGAAATCCAACTCTTCCTCAACCCACCCTTCCCGTTTCAGACCTCTAGCTACTCGATACCAAGCCTCTGCAACCTTTGTGAGCCCATTATCCAACAACAACCCTTCCTTATCTATGAGTAACTTCCTCCAAAACTCAGGTTGCAATCTCCCACTGGGTGGCATCTGGAAGCCACACACCTTAGCAATCTTTCTAAGTTTTAACATTGCATCTTCCCCCGCCCTTTCTTTCACAATGTCACAAGCCAACAAGCCCTTAGCAAGTCTAGCATGTTCCTGCCCCATCTTGAATAATTGGAGTAAGCCACGTGTTAGAGACAGATATACAGAGGAGATACAGGGGAGAAGGAAGAGGAATGTCTACAGTGCTCGACTGCCACGAGGACTTGGGTCCCGTGCGTCTTCCCAAAACGTAGACTAGTCACGGGGGTCCGCCCACCCGGGGTGGCGGTCACGGACCGGGGCGAGCGAGCGTGGGTGACTAACACAGCTCTGGGCAACAGACACAGGAGAGATAAGGGACAAAAGAGAAGATGAACGTGGCTACGCTAACGAGAAGACATTTGCAAAAGTCACAAACATAGAGATGAGCGTAAACCCCGGAATCCAGAACCAGCCACACTATACACACACACACACCAAGGGTACCCACACTGTAACAACAATTGAACAAAAACCACAAAATGACAAAGAGTAAAATGGCCATGTACATGTTAACACCACTAGTAATATTTAAAATGTAGCAATCCCCAGCCCTCCCCCACCAGGCTGGTCCCGTTATAACACAAGTACCAATGAAACACTGCAGTAATCAAACAAAATCCCAGCCCCACCGGCTGTAATGCGTTCCCTGCCCGCTAGGCAGTCAAGTTAACATAAAATCCCAGCCCCACCGGCTGTAATGCGTTCCCTGCCCGCTAGGCAGTCAAGCTAACATAAAATCCCAGCCCCTCCGGCTGTAATGCGTTCCCTGCCCGCTAGGCAGTCAAGCTAACATAAAATCCCAGCCCCACCGGCTGTAATGCGTTCCCTGCCCGCTAGGCAGTCAAGCTAACATAAAATCCCAGCCCCACCGGCTGTAATGCGTTCCCTGCCCGCTAGGCAGTCAAGCAAACATAAAATCCCAGCCCCACCGGCTGTAATGCGTTCCCTGCCCGCTAGGCAGTCAAGCTAACATAAAATGCCAGCCCCACCGGCTGTAATGCGTTCCCTGCCCGCTAGGCAGTCAAGCTAACATAAAATCCCAGCCCCACCGGCTGTAATGCGTTCCCTGCCCGCTAGGCAGTCAAGCTAACATATAATGGGTTCCCTGCCCGCTAGGCAGTCAAGCTATTGTCTTATAAAAGGGAGAAAACACACACACCGGCCGTCACACACATCTAAACAAATACAGGAGGCAGATAGACAATCGACAGGTTCACTTTAAAAAGGCACACCGGATGAGCTAATTACCTGTCTTTAGTAGCCTTCTGGAAGCCGGAAGTGGACTCGGAGACAGACCGACACAAAACAGGAGAATAACACAGGCAACGGCTGTATTATGGAGGTGATCAGGCTCCGCTTGTCCCACTTTCCGGAGGTCTGCTCCGGTCCGTTGGTTCCGGCCCTCCGGTGGCCCCACGTTGGGCGCCAATTGAAATGGAAAAATCAGTCAAGGTATTGATTACAGGGAGTGCAGAATTATTAGGCAAATGAGTATTTTGACCACATCATCCTCTTTATGCATGTTGTCTTACTCCAAGCTGTATAGGCTCGAAAGCCTACTACCAATTAAGCATATTAGGTGATGTGCATCTCTGTAATGAGAAGGGTGTGGTCTAATGACATCAACACCCTATATCAGGTGTGCATAATTATTAGGCAACTTCCTTTCCTTTGGCAAAATGGGTCAAAAGAAGGACTTGACAGGCTCAGAAAAGTCAAAATAGTGAGATATCTTGCAGAGGGATGCAGCACTCTTAAAATTGCAAAGCTTCTGAAGCGTGATCATCTAACAATCAAGCGTTTCATTCAAAATAGTCAACAGGGTCGCAAGAAGCGTGTGGAAAAACCAAGGCGCAAAATAACTGCCCATGAACTGAGAAAAGTCAAGCGTGCAGCTGCCACGATGCCACTTGCCACCAGTTTGGCCATATTTCAGAGCTGCAACATCACTGGAGTGCCCAAAGCACAAGGTGTGCAATACTCAGAGACATGGCCAAGGTAAGAAAGGCTGAAAGACGACCACCACTGAACAAGACACACAAGCTGAAACTTCAAGACTGGGCCAAGAAATTTCTCAAGACTGATTTTTCTAAGGTTTTATGGACTGATGAAATGAGAGTGAGTCTTGATGGGCCAGATGGATGGGCCCGTGGCTGGATTGGTAAAGGGCAGAGAGCTCCAGTCCCACTCAGACGCCAGCAAGGTGGAGGTGGAGTACTGGTTTGGGCTGGTATCATCAAAGATGAGCTTGTGGGGCCTTTTCGGTTGAGGATGGAGTCAAGCTCAACTCCCAGTCCTACTGCCAGTTCCTGGAAGACACCTTCTTCAAGCAGTGGTACAGGAAGAAGTTTGCATCCTTCAAGAAAAACATGATTTTCATGCAGGACAATGCTCCATCACACGCGTCCAAGTACTCCACAGCGCGGCTGGCAAGAAAGGGTATAAAAGAAGAAAATCTAATGACATGGCCTCCTTGTTCACCTGATCTGAACCCCATTGAGAACCTGTGGTCCATCATCAAATGTGAGATTTACAAGGAGGGAAAACAGTACACCTCTCTGAACAGTGTCTGGGAGGTTGTGGTTGCTGCTGCACGCAATGTTGATGGTGAACAGATCAAAACACTGACAGAATCCATGGATGGCAGGTTTTTGAGTGTCCTTGCAAAGAAAGGTGGCTATATTGGTCACTGATTTGTTTTTGTTTTGTTTTTGAATGTCAGAAATGTATATTTGTGAATGTTGAGATGCTATATTGGTTTCACTGGTAATAATAAATAATTGAAATGGGTATATATTTGTTTTTTGTTAAGTTGCCTAATAATTATGCACAGTAATAGTCACCTGCACACACAGATATCCCCCTAACATAGCTAAAACTAAAACAAACTAAAAACTACTTCCAAAAATATTCAGCTTTGATATTAATGAGTTTTTTGGGTTCATTGAGAACATGGTTGTTGTTCAATAATAAAATTAATCCTCAAAAATACAACTTGCCTAATAATTCTGCACTCCCTGTATTTCTTTGTGTATCTGCCCCTGGCCAAATCAATGAAACAGTGCATGCACGCTCCCTGAAGTAATTCACACCAGACACAGGTTCCAGGTTGTTGAATAACTTGAGGAATGTTTATTCAGAGGGGACGGCAGGTCCCTTTTAAAGCAAAATTACATCATAAGCATTGTCAGAGATAACATGGAATAATACATCAATTATTGGTTAGGTGTTAAGTGGTCGCTCTAATGCTCTGCCTACTGAGGGTGATGTCACCAGGGCCATGAGGGTCTCCCACGGTTTCCCGGCGCCATCTTGCTGCACGAGGTAGTTAGTCGGTGTTAAAGGGAGGGGGAGGAGAGGAGGGGTTTGAAGCTTCTAGCAGCCATTTTGATTAAAACATGTGTGCATAGCTTATATTGTATATAGTGAAATGAGTAAATAGACATTTTCATTAACTAGGAAATATGTGCAGACCTTATTTCCACAACATTTATATCAAAATACACTTAGAATGAAATTATGTATATATCTATGTATATAGAAATAATGTGAAATATACATGCATATACATAATTATATAAATAATTTCAAAATATATACGTAGACTTCAAATATATAAATATGTATATATTTAAATTCTACGTACATATTTATGTAATATTTAATTAAGTAATTTTATTGATTGCAATTTGGGGTACCTGCCTGATAACCCAAGCCGAAAGTCCAGACAATTTAATTTGCTAGCATTTACAAAGGAAGACAACACAAGGTATTACAAATGGGGTATATTCAGTCTTTTTTAGTAGCCATTTAGTCACAAACACTGGCCAAAGTTAGCGTTCATAATTGTTTTTTGTATTTTTAACACACAAACAAATGTAAATGCTAACTTTGGCCAGTGTTTGTGACTACGTGGCTACTAAAAAAGACTGGACATACCCCATATTGGATACCGTGGGTTATCTACTGTTCAAAAATATATGGTTTAATGGAGGTAAATTACATTGGTCGGCTTCAAAATTATCCCAAATAGGACATGGGTGCCTGATGACCAGCTGTGAAAATTCCAAGTTGGAAAATAAGGTATTTTAGCCCCCAGAGAACACGAGACACGTATACATGGGGGGTATCACTGTTCTCAGGAGATGTTGCTTCATACATATTGGGGTTTTCTTTGTCAGTAACCCTTAAAGTTCTCCGTACATGTATTCTTAAATTGCTATGTGTGTCAAAAAAAAAAATCACCATTTTTTTTTTTTTTTATTTGGCATAGATTGGTACTAAAACGGTTGCATGAAAAGAGTCACAATACCTCAAGTTTAATACCTTAGGTTGTCTTTTAAAACATATATACATGTGAAGGGTTATTAAGGGATTCCAGACAGATATCAGTGTTACAATGTAACTTGCGTTAATTTTGAAAAACAAAAATGGTTTGGAAATAGCAAAGTGCTATTTGTACTTATAGCCCTATAACTTTTCAAAAAAAACCCTAAGACCATATTAACATTGTGTATTTCTAAACGGAGGACAAAATTTAGAAATTATTTAGCACAGGTGTTTTTTGGCAGTTGCAGATGCGTAACAGATTTTGGGGGTCATCATATTTTATAATTTCTTTTATAGTAAATTATGATATGATGAAAATAATAGCATCTTTAGAAAGACCATTTAATGGCCAGAAAAACGGTATATGTGTGGGCAGGGCTGCCATGAGACATTATGGGGCCCCTGACACAGCCCAAAGTCTGGGCACCCGGGGCCCACCCCTGAGCTCGCCTCTGTGCCTACCCACATGGCCTGCCCCCAAGTCCGCCTACATGGCCTGCCCCGAGGGATGAAGTGTGTGCACTGAATTTGGTTTATGTATAGTGGATGCGGTGTGTATGTTGTGGATGCGGTGTTTATAGTGGATGCAGATTGTATGTTTGTGTTTATTAGATGCAGAGTGTGTTTGTGTAGTGGGTACAGTGTATGTTTGGATAGTGGATGCAGTATGTATAGTGAATTCAGAGTGTGTGCTTCTGTAGTGGGTGTATAGTGAATGCAGAGTGTGTATTTGTCTAGTGGATGTAGTGTGTGTGTATAGTGAATGCAGAGTGTGTTTGTGTAGTGGACATAGGGTGTGTATAGTGAATGCAGAGTGTGTTTGTTTAGTGGATGTAGGGTGTATAGTGAATACAGAGTGTGGGTTTGTGTAGTGAATGTATTGTGTGTGTGTGTGTGTGTAGTGAATGCAGAGTATGTTTGTGGAGTGGATGTAGTGTGTGTGTATAGTGAATGCAGAGTGTGTTTGTTTAGTGGATGTAGGGTGTATAGTGAATGCAGAGTGTGGGTTTGTGTAGTGGATGTATTGTGTGTGTGTATAGTGAATGCAGAGTGTTTGTGTAGTGGATGTAGTGTGTGTATAGTGAATGCACAGTGAGTAGTGGATGTAGTGTGTGTATAGTGAATGCACAGTGTATGCTTGTGTTGTGGATGTAATGTTTGTATTAGATGCAATGTGTATAGTTACTGCAGTGTATAGTGACTGCAATGTGTGTGTTTGTGAATGTAGTGTGTGTAATGAATGCAGTTTGTGTAGATGATGCGGTGTGTGTTTGTGTAGATCAGTGGTAGTCAACCTTTTTCCACTTACCGCCCACTAATGCATCTTTCTTGATGGAAAAATTTCCTTACCGCCCACCAGTTTTCGCGCAAGCGCGGAATATTTTTTAGAAAGGAGGGTGTTTTAAAAAATACATAAATGAACGTACATTTATCTTTTTATTTCTACTTTATGCATGTTTATAATGTTTTTAACTTTATAAAGTTTAATGAGGAAGCAATAAAGTAAATTGAACTTACCTTTACTAGAGGTTGATGCTGCGAGACTAAATATTTGATATCTGGTTCGATTTTCATAAGGAACAAACGAAGGTCTCCTCTTTCAGTGATAATCGGAAGACTTCTTTGTTTGCTCATAAAATGATTTCTCATCTGTGCGTCAGCTCCCCTCCTCTCCCTCCTCAATTCCCCTTCCCACCTTTTTCCCCTTTTTTCTATTTTTTAACCTTCCTTATAGCAATGGCCAATAGGAAGGCTGAGCTAGGTAGCCCACTTACTATTATTAGTCAACAA